CCCGCAGCTCCTATTCAGAAAGCATCAGGTGCAGAGGTTCGGACCGAAAGTCAGGATAGCCCCGCAGCTTTTTATTCATGAAGCATCAGGTGCAGATGTGACAATTCACACTTCACATACACTGGAACCTATTGTTGTGTAAACGACTACCTTTTCTTCTACTGCGGTTCTAATATCTAATCAGATCGAGGATCACATGAGTCAGTTTTCAGATGAAGAATGACATGTTTACACTTCTCGGCGGAAGAAGGTCGGGGGCACAGTCCAACTTAGAAACTTAATGGATGATACTTTGGTTACTTCTGACAATGGCACGACACTTCAAAGTTCGTCATCTGACTCCGCTCCTAAAACTAGAGAAAGACGCAGGGCTAAAGTGGCTCGTCCCTAGCTACTTGTTTTTTGCATGTTTTAAATCTTTTAAGTCTATTTGTAACGTTTTGTTGGGGTAGTATTGTACTTGGTATCGTATAGGTAGGGTGTCTCTATTGGGCCCTCTCATACAACTTTTATGTATCTTTTCTATTTCAATAAAATCAATCTTTGGGCTTTTCATCAATATATATATATATATATATATATACACATGAAAACGGTCATCTATATGCATGACATAGTTGGCAAAGTTCAAATTCAATTATATGCTAATGTTAAAAGTCTGATTCTTTAGAAATAAAGTTGACATGGTTCAAATCAAACAAGCAAAATCCTCGATAATGCTCGTTTTGATTGAAAAACTCAACCAGATAGGTTAATTTCAAACCAACATTCAATTGAAGTTTTCAAATCAAACACTCAAGTAAAAATTAATCACTTCAAAATTAGAAGCAACATCATCCACCTTTTGCAACAATTTATCGAGTGTGATAATTTTTAACTGAATTCAACTCACAAAAAGTGAATGTCGTATTAAATGTATTTATATATTTATAACCAAAGAAATTACATGTCGATAAAGATGTGGCCTGAGTCATCAATTCGTGTGAACACCATATATTACGCTCACACCCGCTTTCTCGACGACTTTCTACCCTTTGAGTCGTTAACCATAGGATACAATTCATTGACACAAAACTTTCAGCAGCTAAGGTCGACTTAAATTTGTCTTCTTAAAATAACATTTACCCCAAATCTACAAGGATCTCTTGAACCAACCCATGATTACGGATAAGGATCTTTCAGTCAGGCTAGGTCGATTATCTTCTCTATTTAAGTAGATCAAAGACCATGACAGCCCAGGGCATTAGAACCATGCGAATCTTGATCGAGTTCGTCATCATTTCCCCCACCATCTGCTTTAAGCTTCAAGTGATAGATTTTACAATTTAAAATATATGTTTGTTGCTATTATATATTGATTATTTAATGTTAAACGACTAGCCATAATCGAAAGTGTTCCCCCATTATCAGGAGAGGTAACTTATGCCTATGGGAAACCCCAAGCCCTAGATCAAAAAGTCCTCAAAAAAATGTGGGTGAAATCTCTGGGTAATATCTTATTTACTATTCCAGCTGTATTTTGAAAATTTGACTCTCAAAGCGCTCACAGCACAAAACAAAAACAAAATGAGTAAAAGGAGCAATCATAATTTTCGGAGCACACAATCTTTTATATTTTTTTAACTTAATACAAGCTTGAGTCAGATTTATGTCTGCCTTGTTCGACACAAATTAGCGTCACCAAGGTCTGACGTATTCAAACATTAAATCTGCATCCGACAAATCGTATGACTTTTCCACAATTAAAATTTGAGTCCACAAAAAAACTTGTTGGGACTTCCTAAAGGCGTACATTGCAAACGCTACGCCCGGCGCTAATTGCTTGTATGACCCACATTTTAGTGTCGGACATTTTGCTGCGTAAATATGAGTTCAAATTAAGTTGGACAATATATTGTAACCCCATTTTATAAATAACTATTATTTAAATTGCCAAATTGATCCCTCCCCCCCCCCCCCCCCCCCCCCCCACT